ATCTTTTAGGGACTTCCACTTGCCCCAACTTGACTGGATTTCATTCCTTGTCAATATGGTATATTGTTATCTCACTACCACTGCGGTCCTTGGATTTGGTACCTTGCTCAGAATCCTTTCAGCATTAAGTCTGCACCATAGCATAAAATTGAAATTCTAAAAGGTTTTCTGCTTCTTGTATTGGCATTTTATTTTGATATATTTCTTGATATGAACCCATATGAATTAGAAATCTTTGCAATTCACCAAATAGTAAGTTTTGTAATTTGTAAATATTTGGTTTGTGTAACAACAACCATTGATATTGTCAATTAGAAATTCACCAAATTGAATGCTCTAAATCTCCAACATATGTTCTTTAAAAAGATAAAAATGATCAAGTGTCCTGTGGTGTAGTATATTCCATGTAGAACCATTGAAACTTTTTTCATTAGCTGAAAGCCTAATATCTCATTACTTTGCATTTCAAACACTCTTTCTTTTTCTTTTTTTCTTTCATAATGGATTTCATAACTTTTCTAACAAAAGTTTATTTAGATGAAACATGCCGTTATATTGGTAAATAAAATATTTTTCTTCATTTTCTTTTGCCAACAGATCCCAACAAACAGGGCTGGTTTAATTGAGTATAGAGCTCACCCCTTTTGGGGCCAAAAATATTGTCCATCACATGAACATGATCGCACACCTCGATGCTGTAGTTGTGAGAGAATGGAGGTATGTGTGGTGTTTGTTTTATTGGAGGAACTTCGGTGTCTAGTTTCAAGTATGAAATGGTTACTGAGAAAAAAATAATTGCTCATGTTATCTAGAACATCCTTCTTTGATAATTTCTTAGTTTCCCTCTTTTACTTCATATTGAAGTCAAGAAGCAGAAGATATATCTGCCTAGGAGATGGCCGTAGCTTGTGCTTGGAATGTCTTGATTCTGCTATCATGGATATTGTTGACTGTCAGTCTCTATACCACTCAATTAGAGATTATTATGAAGGAATGAACATGAAAATAAATCAACAAATTCCCATGCTTTTGGTAGAAAGGCAGGCGCTTAATGAAGCCATGGAAGGGGAGAAAGATGTAAGCTTTCTTGATTGTTTTGAGTTTCGAGATGCTTATCCTGGAGGTAGTTCTGGATTTTGAATATGTTTTCCTACTAGGGTCATCACCACATGCCTGAAACCAGAGGCTTATGTCTCTCTGAGGAACAAACTGTTAGCAGTGTAAGTGATCTCCTTCCATTTTGATTTAGTTTGTGCTGACGTCTAAGCTGTGTCGTTTCCAATCTACAGATACTTAGAAGGCCAAAAATTGGGGGAAACAGAATTCTGGACATGCGGACTTTCCCACAAAAGTTGACCCGTCAATGCGAAGTCACTGCAATTCTCGTATTGTATGGCCTTCCCAGGTTAGTCACATCCTCATACGATGCTAAAGTTAGCTGTCTTTTTTAATACTAAAATATATTTTTTCTATTTTCTATTTTGAGTGTTATGCAACAGAGGAGCGAGCTTGTGCTTCTCGTGTAAATCGGAGTAGGATTTTGTGCAAAATGATTAGGATAGTAAAGTGAAATTAAGTCAGTATTTTGTTAATTAAACAAATAATATTTGCCAAAGATGAATTGTTATTCAACAAATCATGAAGTTGTTTTCAACACCTTGCATTCTTTCATTAATATTCAATCAACAAAACATAATAGTAATGTTTCTAATAATTATAATTTTCTGTAGTAATAAGCAACTGGGATCTGTTAACTCCTTGGTATAGTAATCAACAAAGCATAATATTAGGTTCATGGTCAGGAATCATGTTCATTTTTACCTTGCAATGTTTGGTAAATAGAAAAGATTGGAGTTTTCTGTCTGTCTACTAATGAACAAAGCTCCTGCAATGAGGGCCTGAGCATAGCTTTACCCCTGCTGTTTGCTCATCTATTATGAGTCATAAACTCATAATATAAACTTCTTTTTTCTATAGAAGATAACCATTGTTCCATCTTGTATAAGTCCTAAGTTAGTAACACATTTAATTTAGCAAAAAAGGTCAAACGCCCTGATGTTTCTTTGTTCTTCTAAGTGCAGGCTATTAACTGGTTCCATTCTTGCTCATGAATTAATGCATGGTTGGTTACGTCTCAGAGGTATATTTTTCTAAATTGCAAATAATTATATTGCCATAATGTAATTGAACTTATGAAATCATTTAATTCTTATATTCCATTTGTTTCGTCTCAGTGGGATAGTTATTTTGCTTGGATTTTTTTTCCTTATTAGGCTATCAGAACTTAAGCCCTGATGTGGAAGAAGGCATCTGTCAGGTTCTTGCCCATATGTGGCTTGAATCTGAGGTTTTGCCAGGGTCAACTAGTATGCCATCCTCTTCGTCGTCATCATCCTCTTCAATTCCATCATCTAAGAAAGCAGGAAAGTCTGCCACCGATAAGAAACTCGGTGAGTTCTTCATGCATCAAATTGCTCAAGACACATCACCTGCCTATGGTGAAGGTTTCAGAGCTGCTAATGCAGCTGTTAACAAGTATGGGCTTCGCCGAACCCTGGAACATATACGCTTAAGAGGCAATTTCCCGATGTGAAAACCATTTCTTATGTAGTAATGAGAGAGAGAGAGAGAGAGAGAGAGAGAGAGAGAGAGAGAGAGAGAGAGAGATTGCAAAGTGTGAGTCGCTTATCCCATAATTTCTTGGGGAGCCAGATGAGTGGTATTGCTTTGTGTCTAAAGTAAAATTAGCAGCTGTATCTGACTAAGCTTCAAACAATATCTTTTCTCAAAGTTGTGCAGTCGTTTTGCTCTAAAGCAGACTTGCAAATGGGTAACCATTACCCATCAAGGGATGCTCTGTCACTGCATGATCGTGAAGTAGAAGGCTGGAATCTGAGAAATACTCAAACAAGCATATATTCGGCCACATGTATATGCAACCAAGAATGAGATGCTGAGATACAACTCGGGTAGTCATCTTCTATCTTTGCTTTTAGTAGCTACATGTGTCTGCCATTTATGAGAAGGAGTTGGCTGATGATGCTTCTTGAACCATGTCTGTCTGCTGCTCAATTGGCTGGCTGATAGATAGCTCTCTCTCTCTCTCTCTCTCTCTCTCTCTCTCTCTCCATGCTGGCTCTTGGTAACCATAAACATTTATAGTTGTGGTGGCAACATGTTTCTCCATTCTTCTTCATGTGGTGTGCATGCATTACTAATGGATAAACTGTTTAGCAAACAGTTCCCATTTCCCTGTAATTGGATATTGGCATAGTAATGGTCTTACTAAAATCAGCATTGTGGGTCATTAGGTCTCCTTCTGCTCTGTTATCAAGCAACACACTTGGCTTTCCATTAAAATTAATCATATATGTGGCTCATGCTATAATATGCTTGCCTTTTGCCATGCCTTCTTAACATGGTAACTAATCAATACACACTCGTGCCATTTTGTTGGGGAAGTTTGTTTCTCTTTTTTTTTTTTATATTATCTTAGGTATCATTATATTTTCCTCAATTGATCATAGGATGCTAATAGTTTAATTAATGTCCTTTCAAAACCTTGTATGTATTGTATATGCTTCTAAATTATTATTATTTTTTCTATTTACTCCTAGATAATAATAATTAACTTGAGTTTATAAGACAAATGTAAACTAATATATAAGTGGATTTCCTTCTTGGGCTTATACACTTATCCAAATATGATCTATAAATATTATAATTACATAAGTTCTGTAGTTAAGATCCATATATATGCACGTATCAGAAGCAGTGTAACAGAGTGTGGGGACGTCACGACTTGTTATTGTCGATTGGAATAGACCCGTCCACAGTTTGACTCACACCACCGCACTATGGTTCTGTTGGTTTGTACGGCGCTCCTCTCGTACACATCCGACGCGTAGGACCCACACGTGCCTTCATATATATATATATATATATATATATATATATATACACACACACACCCCTGAAAATATAGTCAGGTCTTATCGCTGCTGCTTCGTCTTCTTCCGTCACCAACACCACTGCCGCTGCAGCTGCTTTTGCCGAAGAGAAAAGAAAGAGATGGAAATCGGCAGCGGGAAGGCGACAAGTGTTGTGTGGAAAAAGCAGTCGGAGTCGCATCAGCACGCACCACCTCAACCCACATGAAGTCTGCTGTAATGCGAATGTCATTTCCGAGGAAAAGCAATTATTCCGACGTATCAGCAGTACCTGTCATTTCCAACGCAAGCGTCGCAGGTGAACAGTCCCCTGATTTATAGACCACTATTCTCGCTACTCCACGAGAGCTCCCAACAGGGCGGCTCAGATCACGATGTGTGCCATGGGAGGACTCGTTCTTCCCCACCGAAACCTTCCGGTTCTCCCTTTCGCAGGGCGTCTTCTTTGCTCCTATGATCCATCCGAGGCAGGGTTTGGACCCGCGTCGGCTCTCAACCCCGAGGACGCAAGAGTTACCCCCAAGCAGCGTGCAGAAGCCGCTGTTAGCCATCTCTTGCACATGATCAGCCATCTGATACCATTTCTAATATGGCAAATATTCTATATCAATTATATCTCGAACTAATTCCAACCTGTGCGTCGGTAAGAGATTTCGTCGAACACATTCTCGGTACTTGTTCTGCAGATCCTTGACATCTCGGGTCATCGATCGCGATCCGTCTTTCAACCATGTTCTTGGCTGGCAACAGCTCTTCAACCCCCGAAGGATGCAAGAGTTGCCTCCCGAGCTGTCTACACCAGCCACTGTTTGCGTCGTATCATTTGTTGCATGTCACGACGTTCACGAAGTGGAAGTCGTCATCGAATCCCAAGGCTGATATCTCAGTTCAGATGGCCTCGATTTCCTCCAAAGTGAACTGGACTGGGACAAATATAGCAATGCATACTATGGCCATGATGATGACTGAAAGCGATGAGAAGACTTGGATCGAGTCTCCTTTTCTGCACCGTCGACAACATGTTCAATGCTAAAAGGAAGTGCTTCCATATAGAGAATAAGAAAAAGCGAAGAACCACATGCATTGAAAGGTATAACAATGCCAAAAAGCCTCCAATGGCACAGCCTGTTGTTGGTATACAACAGCAGTCATAGCTCCATCTTACAAACTTGGGACTGCTACAGCTTTCACCCAACCGAATCATGAGTGAAGCAGACGACCGCCGATGACGTCCTTCCCGAATTGCCTCTCTTGCGCTCCGAAGCTACTCACCAAGTAGGTGTCGTTGCACTCTTCTAGGCCGAATCGACGGGCCACGTTGAGCGGAAGCGGTTCAGAGAAGCACACCCCGCTGTCTTGATGGAGGCCGAGCGTGAGGGAGACACCATTTCCATTTCCATTTCCATTTCCTCCGGCGGCCACCACACTGGCTCCACCTGCAACATGCTGGTGGTTCGACATGTCATACACAAAGTTGACAGGCCCTCCTTGGATGTGGTTGCGCATGGAGGTCAGCTCCTCGTGAATGCCTTCGGTCACCGAATTCTGATTGCGGCATATGCTCGCTACCTGGAATTGTGGAGAACTCAACGGATTAGACCGCGACGAGGGCGGCGGCTGAGGTTGTTCGTCGGTGGTGGCACAGTTGCTGCCGCCGCTCGCCGATGTTTTGTTTTTCTGACGCAGCTCTAGGGAATGTACTTCCTCGACCATCGGCTTCCAGAGTCTTACTCTTGCATTGATAAACCAATTAGAGACCTGCTCAAAACAAAAATAGTGGAGTGTTGATGAGAGCAAGAGAGATTAACTCAATGCATTTATACGTTCCTTTAATTTGGAGGATTCAGAATTCGCTTCGCATAATACTGAGCATGTATAGATACAAATTACACCATGCTTTTACCTGATTTCTTGTTAGACCAGTTTGTTTAGCCAAATTCTGCTTGTCGACATCGGTAGGATACCTGGAAGACGATAAGAAAATGATCATATATAGATGTCTCCAATAATCCAAAAAGTTGTAAGCAACAAGGATTGTACCGCTGTTAAATTATTGCAAATACTATCAAATTATTGCATATCATTGACTAGCGGCTGACCTTTTCATCTTTCGGATGAAAACATGATCGGCCATGGTGATGACAAAAGCCAGCTAAGTTAAAAGTGTCGAGTGTCTTTATGCAGGCCAACATCTTGTTTTTTTTTTGTTATAAAAAATACCAACTTGATTGGTAGGAAAATATAAAATTTTCAGGCATCTTAACAACATGTAATTAAAAGAGAAAAGAAATACCAAAGAAAAAAAGAGCAAATTCATGTTAAGCATGTCATAACAAAATACCAGATCTTAGTTCTATTAATGAGAGCTAGAAAGCTATCAAAATTAGCAAAACTACATGCTCTTCTTTTCCGGTTCTGTATGGAACCTCTTTATACGTAACTATGGCAAGTCCTCTGAGCTCAGTCGTAAAGAATTTATCGTTTCTAAAACACAGAAGGTTGTAAGGAATTGCATCAGGCACTATAAACTTCAACATGATAAGCAGACAAGCATTCATCACCATAAAGTTATATGCATCTTTAATGGAAATAAAGTTCGATCTACTCACGGATGCAAAAAATGTTCAAAAAGCCATGCTCGAAGCACAGATACGGCGCGCTCAGGAAGCCCTCTCTGCGGCCGCCAAACGTGCGGTTGTGCAAAGGTAGCAGGGCTGTTGGTTGTTTTTTGTAGATAATTACTACTGTTTAGGAGCCCAAAGCTTGAGATATCTTCTCTGCTGACACCTTCGTCTCCATGACCTTTATTGCTCGTCTGCCGAAGTTGGCCAGATATGATATTCTTAAGGCACTTGAAGTGTTTGGACATGGCCTTGAGAGCCATCGATGCGTATGGAGAAGCAGTACTCAATCCAGCGACCGACTCGAACGAAGCAATCACAGCTTGAACCTGCTGGTAGCATTGTTTGTATCTTCTGTAAACCTAAAAGGTTACCATTGGAATGCAGTCAACTCACATCAAAAGATGAAAACATAACATACTCGAAAAGCTGCAAAGTTACTTGCGGTTATTATGTTGACATACATGGTGCTTTTCATAGATCAAACAACAATTTATACGGTTATTCCTAATTCCTCCGTGCTTTCTATTACTTAAAATGCACCGAATACCCAACATGGATTCGATAAGAAGCTACAAATTTGAATAATGTTCATAACGATCATCGAGGTGGCGATGGTTTATGTAACAGTAAGAAAGGAGATGAAAAGCATAAAGAAAAAAAACTTACTACTTACAACAAATCAATCTTTGTAACATAACCAAAGGCGCATTAACTACGAAAACAAGTCAAATGAAATATCATCGAAAACTCGATAAAAGCAACTTTAACTCGTATAAAGAATCCTAGAGAATACAAAGATGTGAAGATACAGCAGTTTGCCTCGTGTTTTCCAAAAAGTCAACCTATTAATTGATGTAATCTCCACCTTCCTTCTATTGAGAAACTTAAAGACAGCAATCATCTTAGCATTTAGAATAGGCCACATTCTTCCAGATTAGAGCTTTATCCTTAAACATCATTAGCAGTAAACTGCAATCCAAGTTACCGAACACTATCTCGAGTTTAACAACTTCGTTGCGATTGCTTCAATAAAAAAAATTCACTTCCATTAGGCTAAACTACAAACATTTTTTTGAGTGAGATGGCCTTATAAATGTGTACAGTTCTTGAATTCGTTCCAGCTTACAACACTGGGTTTATGACTTCTGCAATTAACAGCTACCACAAAACAAAGAATCCACAGATCTGATGTATCAACAAAACATAATTTCCGGCATGTCGGCATGAACTTGATGCATCAGCTAGGTGCAATCAACCATGAGCTTAGTGCAGATAACCCTCATCAACTATCACAGGAGTTGACCACAAGTGATAAAATGGCTTAGCTTTCCTCACAGTCTGATCCTTTCTCTACAGTCTCACATCATCAAGTATTAAGTGAAGCACAATAAATAAGCAAACAATACTTGTGAACCTTCTACTATGACTTGCAAATCAAACCAAGTGCCTCTATTCTGCCAGATCGTAGGCTAAACGGGGTCGATCCTAAACAAAGGCAACCACTTCATCTTGTCTTCCACCGACAACAAGTCTGAGGAGGAAGATGAGGATATGCAGTAAAGAAGCAGTTGATTCAATCTAAATGGATCAGTCTGTAGAAGTAAATGTTCAATTATTCCTAAGTGACGAAAGATTAAACCCTATCATCTCAAATACATTGAATCAAACCCTGCAGTAGCAGATTCAGGAGCAGTAAATCCATGGCTTCACACAGTAACGAGATCTCACCAGTAGCATCGAAAACCTTTTGACATGAAGGAACACAAGACCCTTCAAATAAAGTAGACTGCTTGGGAGACTTGCACAAGCAAGAGGATCCAAAAAGGAAGACGTAACACAACAAGAAGCCTAACGAAGTCATCTCAAAGCAGAAGTACACAGAAGAAATAATTCAAGCTGCTCACCTCGTCAAGCATGGAGATGAGCCTGGTCTTCTTCCACTGCTGCTCCGTGCCGGCGACCGCGCGGTCCTCCTTCGTTCCATGGCCGGCCACCACGTCGACGCCGTGATCCATCAGCGACTCCCTGGGCGGATCCGCGTCTAGGAGCATCTCCCGGCTGCCGCCGCCGCTTCCCGCCGCGGCCTGGTGTCCCGCACGGCACACCTCCTCGAGAAGCTTCCTCGCCGGTTCCAGGAACCTGGAGCGGTTGAGGACGGCGGCGTAGCCTGTGAACGGCCCCAGGGGGGCCGGCCGGCTCGCGAGGTGGTGCCGCGAAGCCGGGGGGCGAGGGGAGGAGGAGGAGGTGAGGGAGAGGGAGAAGCCTTGGATGGGGATCTGGTGCTGCGCGGGGATCGGCAGCGCGCCGTGGCCGTCGAATTGGGCGTCACCGTAGTTAAGGGTGGGGTTGTGAGAGTAGTAGGACGAGGAGGAGGAAGAGGAGGGGAGGAAGGCCGTCAGGGAATTGGCGGGGTAGAGCGAGGGAGCAGCGTCGGCATCGTGGAGAAGCAGGAAGGAGGCCGACGGCGGCGACGACCCTTCCAGCGGGAACCGCAGCTTCTCCCTCCTGCTGTGCTGTGGGACGTGGTCGTACATCTGGGGGTGGTGCAGTAGCATCGGTTCATCCCCACCTCCTCCGCCGCCTCCCACGAATCGATCCGCAGCCGACGAAGCCATCTCTCTTTTTTTTTTTTTCCTTTCTCGCGTCAACTCCTCTGTCTACTACTACTACTGCTGCCGCTACTACGCTTCTCGTAGCCCAACCCTGGAGAGAGTGAGGGGGCAGATGCTCGCAACTTTTCGCTGCTTCTCTCGCTTTCCACAGAGCAAGCGATAAAGAAGGAAAAGAGAGTGAACAGTGGAGCAGTGAAAGCGAAAGGAGAAAGAGGGAACACGGCTGTGATATGATGAGAACTGGAGTTCATGTTTACCCCGTCCAACTACACGTTATATATATCATGATGCCGACTCCCTTCACTCTTCCCCCTCCCCCGTTTCGATTTGCTCTCACAGAACAGTAGCAGCGTATATGACAACAGGGAATACCAACAAACAGATACGCCTCTTTGAACACGGCGATTGGATTGCACCGAGAGTACAGGAGAGAGAGAGAGAGAGACAGAGAGACAAAGACAGAGAGGTCAATTAATTAGGGTCCGTGGTGGGCGCACGTGGGACCTCGCCAGGCCTCTCGGAACACCGTTGGTTCGTCCTTGCTCGCTCGGAAGGTGAATAGCTGCAGCAGCTGAGTGTCGACGTACTTGGAAATGTTGGAGGGGGGGGGTGGGGATGTTGGTGGGGTCAGGTGGGCTGTATCCGGCGGACCCCGATCCAGAACGAGACGTTGTATCCACCACCGGCTGTCCCGGGGCCCAGCCGGCCGACCTCTACGGCGAGCACTAGCGTCGTCAGGTGGGCCTGCAGCAACGGCGTGGATGGAACGGGGTAACATACGCACGCAACCTGTTGTAGAGGGAGAGGAGGAGGAGGAGGAGGAGGGTGTTAGGCGGATGTCACACCACTGTAGGTAGCTGTGGCGAGAACTCATGATGGTGGCCAAGCTGCTGCTGTCGTCCATAACAGGAGGTTATTCGCGTCGATCAAGCTCGTCCGCTGGACGACGTGTCGAGTTACGAAATGATGGGTCGTAATGGCTTCGCTGAGGAATCGCTGTTATTACCCCCCCCCAGGTTTGGTTCTTGATGGAGAAACGGGGTAGGTGGGCAGGGAAAGGCGCATGTTACGGAGGTGGGGCTGACGTCGTTCTCTGCAGTTCCCTTCACTGTCAGTCATCCGAACAGGGGAAGGAGAGAGAGAGAGAGAGAGAGATAGAGAGACGAGTAGTACCGCAGCCACTGGTTTTGGTTTTCTACAGCAATCTTTTCTCTCTTTTGGCCTCATCTTTAGCTCTCTCTCTCTCTCTCTCTCTCTCTCTCTCTC